TTAAACTTACCATCTTAACCACTCACATGTATAGTTCTGAGGTAGTAAGTACATTTACAGTATTGCACAACCAGTACCACTGTCCATCTCCAGAAATTTTTTCATCTACAAAGCTGAAATTCTGGACACTTTGATCAATAATCCCAATTCCCACATTTTCCCAGCCCCTGGCAACTACCATTGTACTTTGTGTCTCTGATTGACCATTCCAGCTCTTCATTTAATTAGAAGTATTTGTCTTTTTGTGGCTATCCTATTTCACTTAGTATAATGTTTTGAAAAGTCATTGTAGCCTCAGCCAGAATTTCATGTTTTTAATGCTGAATAAAAATCAAATTTTATATGTATTTTTATTATCCATTCACCTGTTGATGAATATTTGGGTTGTTTCCATATTTAGCTATTGCAAATAATGCTGCATGAACGTTGGTCTATATGTATCTGTACAGCAGGTGTAGTTCTTGAAACATAGATCTTAGCATATCAGTCTTCTTCACTTTTTGAGGTCTCACGGTGCTGCTCTGGCTGGTCTAGAACTCCTGGGCTCGAGCAGGGTCATGCTTTGACCTCCTGTGTAGTTAGGAACACAGGCACGCAGCACCACACCCAGTTTGAGCTGTAAGTCTTAGTTGTGACCTATTGTAATCTTTTTTGGATGAGGGCAAATAGTATTTAGTTCATTTCTCCCTCTATTTTAATCTTTCCTTTGCTATTTTGTTTTCACTCTAAATTGTAAATTCCTGGCTAAATTATCTAACACATCTGAGTTTTCTTGGTACTCAGCCCCCACCCTGGCTTTCTGGGCCTGTTAACTTCACTAGACAGTTTTACCTCCTTGGCAAGCTTTCTTCACTATGACTTGCAAGGTGCCTTGCTAGACTGGTTTCCTTGCCAGGCCTCTTTCGCCTTGTCCTTTGTCTCCCTAGTTGCTAGACACGGAAGCACCCCAGGGCTCAGTTCTGCCCCTTTCGTTATCTAATCCAATCTGACACTCACCACTCTCCACTGATTACTCTAGCATTTGTCCCCAGACGAAACTTCACCTTCAACTCCAAACACGTAACCTGCTTGTATGACTAACAGGCGTCTTGGATGTATGAAGTCCTTTGCCCTCTGCCACCGCCCCCTCCCAGCCCGCTCATCCGTCTTTTCCTGTGGTGATAGCCATGTGGCACAGAGGCCTGAGGCCTTCGGTGGCTTCTCTTCTCAGTCAAAATCAGAGCCAAAGTGTCGCAGAGGCCGACGCAGCTGCTGTGATAGCTGCGTCCAGCCCATGAGGAGTTAAGGACGGATGCAGAGTAGGACTCAGAACTTCTGAGCTGCTTGACAGAATGATTTTGTTACTGAATTTGCTAAGAAGTTGGGCTTCTATTTTCCTATTTTAATAGTTCACTTTTAATATATATTTTTAAATATTCCAACATAGATATGAATTGCTTTTCTGGAAGGGCCTTCACCAAAGACAGAGTGAGAAGTGCAGTGGCTGCCCCTCCCCAGCCAGGCTGCCCTGCTCCGCTGGGACCTGTCCCCAGCCCCGGCGGCGCTGCCCTGCAGGGGAGCCAGCCTGCCTGCTCCGTCCTCGCGTCCAGCCATGCCGCCTCCACCTCTGTCTCCCTGTGTCTGCGTGGCGTGTTTTCTTTCCGTTGCAGTGAGGAGCTTCCGTGTCCTAATAGTATTGCTTGTGTGTCTCTGTGCAAGTACAGCAGGGTACCTTGACACAGCAGGTGCTGACCAAATAGTTGTTTAGTATTTGAAATCGGAGATGAAATTTAAGAAGATAGGAAAACTCTATCGGGGCCAGGAGGTTGCTTAAGGAGAACTGAGAGCTGGGGAGCCGGCAAGAGAGCTCAGCAGTGTGCAGCACCTGCTTAGGCAGGCTTAGGCGAGCACAGGGTCGGCGGTCCAGGCCCCAGCACTGCATGCCTTGCCAGTGCTGCCCCCAGGACGCCTGAGCTGGCCACAGAAAACAAACTGAAAGCTTGAGGCATGTCCTGTCAAGGGTGGGACAAGTAGGGCTAGTGTTTTCCAAAGTCATTTGGGATGCCCAGGGAGGAGGGTTGCCTTGATCTTACACCACATTTGTTTTCCTTATTTCTAGGCCCTTCCTCGATTTAACCAGAAAGGAGAAGTATATAAAGCGCAGATAATGAACGTGAGCTGGTCAGCTGATCACAGGATTATTGATGGAGCTACAATGTCACGCTTCTCAAATTTGTGGAAATCCTACTTAGAAAACCCAGCTTTTATGCTACTAGATCTGAAATGAAGATCTATCTATAAGATATCCTTGAGCTTTTTGAATTTCCAAAGAGTATGTAAAACCTAGCTGTGGTACACATATTCTCACAACTTGCGTTGTAAATGATGTGTACTATACACTTAAGATTGTAAGGCTCAACATTTATCACTATTCGGTTAGACTTTAGTGACAGTGATTAATGGTGGAACGGTTCTCTTGGGCTGTCCCATTTTGTAACACTATGGTGCTTTGGTCTTTGTTTTAATGGATTGACGCTGGCAACGAAACAAAGCCACTATTACTGAAACAGCCATACGTACACAGCCTCTCTCTCTCTCTCTCTCTCTCTCTCTCTCT